ACAGAGGTCATACGGACAAGGCTGTGGAGAGATTTAAACATGTGGATTTGAAACTGTATTCTTTGTGTGACTGGGAGCCAATGTACGATAGCAGGAGCGTGATTGACAGATATATGGGACTCAGTACAGGAGAAAATAACAGCAGCGGAGCTTTGGACTTGTTGAAAGTGGGGTTAGTCATTATTTGGCATCACACAACAACTAGAAAGAACTTCACATCCAGGAAAAAAATATCATACCAAGATTCCAAGTCAAAATAATATTCCCGACTGACAATGAGTAATCCCCAAACCTGCATTTTAAGGGATGAGTTTTAATTTTTCCTGCAATGTTTCATTACAGAAAAGGAATTGTAAGGAAAACATTTAGGAGAAAAGTAATATTTTTAAAATGTTAGTTGATATTTAGTACTCTTGCAAACATAACTCTACTTGATGTAAAAACCTTTCCAGATTGGTAGTCTTCTAAACTTAGATTTGTTCTATATTTATCACTCGTTCAGTCAACAAACCCACATTGGTGAACCTTCTATCAACAGCTTTTATCAGATCTATATATACAGAAATAAGCACCAACTTAACCAAAAGTAGACTGCCCCAAAGGTTAGGCAGTGTGGGAGTTGTTTTTATCTGTTAGTGGCATTGCAAAGTGATAGAGTATACAGATTAGAGACTGTTGTGTCTTTGATGAAATTAAGGCCGTCAGCAATCTCACGTCGCCAATGTTTTGTTATTTATGAAGCAATCCTGAATCGTTTTGTAGGTTAGCTGAATTTAATACGCGGTGATCAAAACTGATGCGAGGATTTTAACTCAGTTTAAATCTAGAAAAAGAACACAATTGGGCAGCAACTACGGACAGTCTGGGGTTTAAGGTCTGGACCACTTCATTAGGACTGAGACAAATTGCAGGCAGACGGTAATGACAAAAGGACTGGACAGTGAAAAACACAGATACACATACGCATGTATAGTACACAGATATGTTTAGATACACAGATACACATAAATACATAGACACACTTAGATACATACACGCATACACGGACACATATAAATATACAGACAGACAGACGCACAGATATAGAGATTTTGATACACACATTGAAATACACAGAAACACACATGCACACACACAAAGACATGCACACATGCACAGGAATAGAGACACATGCAACACAGATATATGCAAATAGACACACACATGCAGATATACACATAGAAACACACGCACAAAGAAACACACACACTAAAACACAGAAACAAAAACATAGATACATTCAAAAATAAACACATAAACACTGATACACAGACACACACACAAGCAAACACAAAAACATACAAATAGAAACACAAACAGAAATATATGTGCATACACAGATACAAACACATACAAGCACACACAAAGCAAATACAGATACTTACACACAATAGGAACACAAATGCACATACATTGCAGACAGAAACATATACTCATGCATATTTAAACACACATATTCTTCTAAGAAATTAATGAAAAATGCTCCACTGGAAACGAGTCAATTAGCTACAGGTTGTATGTATTCTTACTCAGTGATTGTGAGCTATTCTGCGTGCAGGAGGGCAAGTTGGTGCAAAGTCTTATTAACTCCTTGAGTGAGGTGCCAAAATAAAAGCCTTTAACGAGACTCACTCAGGATGGCCAGGTCTGAGCAAACCAAAACCAAAGCCCAATACCTTCCAAATGGTACTGACTAGGTTTTACAATTAACTTAACCCTCTGTGATAAAAATGGTCACTCAGAAACTGCATAAAATAACAGAGAATGTGTAACAAAGAGGTGGGTCATTTGGCCCAACCAGTCCATGATCGTGTTTATATTCCAATCGAGCCTCATTCCAATCTTCTATCTCAAACTATATCAGCCTCTATTCCCTCTTTCCTCATAACTATTTCCAGCTTTCCCATATATGCATCAATACTCTTCCCTTCAACCACTCCCAATGGTAGTGAGTGCTATGTAAGGGCTTTAGGAACCTGGAACAACCTTGCGATGATGTCACAGAGCTGCTCCTCACAGGGCATAAATAGGACAGTGTAGGCAGTTAGAGAAGGGAGAAACACAAGGAGAGCTCGGCAGAAGCCTGACACTCAGCTCTGTGAATATTAGAAACACACGCAGAGAAGTTTGTGGAGCAGACCGACTAGTATTAGGTGATTGAGTTCATTGGATCATCTTTCAATAATGTAATGGTCAGGAATATCTGCCTGACATGTTTTGAATGTTATGTACTGCACTATGTAATAAACAGTGTTGTAAATAGTTATTGACCTTGTCTTTTCCTCAGCCTATTTTGAACTGAAGCTCATTAATCTGGGCATGAAACATAATAAAAGAGTGAGTTCTGTATTCTCTGCACTCTCTGGCTGCCCAGTCAGGCCAGAATATGACCTGCTTTCCTCTTGACGTGCACTGGCCCCCAACCCCTCAGCAATTGTGTTCCTCACTGCGGCTAAATTTACAAATGATTCCTGGTTCACTTAAAAGAGGGTGGGTTCATGACTCAGAGATGAACCTGCCTCCCAGTTCCAGCATTGGCTGTGAAAATCAAGCTCAGAAAGTTCAAAACATTGAACTTAGTGAATAATGGAAGGGACACTCCTTCAATGATAAGCACTGATGGTTGAACAAATCTGTGATAATGAACTGAATTGAACTACTTACTAAACAGGAACCATCTATGATTGTCTCTGTTCAATTTTGTTTGTCTTTGTGCAAATTTGATGATGTTTTTATTCTAAATGACTGACAGTGCCTGTAATTTGAGTTACCAACTCCTGTGTGTCAAAAGTCTCGCTACAAAGATGCATGCTTCCTTGTGTAAAGGTAGCTAAGCCTCTGCCAGATGATTATGTTCGTCTCTAAACTGGATTCGAAAAGGTGTCACATTCCTGTTGAGTATAAGCCAGAAGGTTAGGGGTGGAAGAGGGAGTTGTGGACAGGTGCGTAGTAGGTGGGCGCCAGTGAGGAGTATTACCTCAAGACAGTGCAACTTCAATGACTTGGTGAGATGTCATTGACACAGCTTTGACCAACATGGTAAGAGTTGCCACCAAGCAAGACTGACTGGCATCTCAGTCGGTAGCTGTCATGGCGTGGATAATAGACGCTTGACACCAAGCATCTATTGACCTGACCCCTCGGGGGACTTACAGAATCGGTTTGATCAATTCAGTGAGCACTTGATCGCCAACACGAGCCAGTGTGTACAGTGCACCAGAGACAAGCCACTGCGATAACTCGGCGCAGTTAAGTCTGAGTATTCGAAATGCTGCTCTATTTTTAACTTTCAGCTGCCGTGCTGCGTTTTACATTACTGCAGTCACATAAATAAACAGGCAGTCATGCTTCACTGCCTGCACCATGGACGGTAAATATCAATCAGTTGCTGCCACCTGAAAAGTATGCACAAACGCAATGGGCAAGCAAATCATGTACTTGCAAACCGGATTTAAACTAAAGCAGCACTCAGCAAGCCATGGCTTGCCCTTGGCTGGGTCAGTACAGTACGGGGAATCTCTGCTGTGCTAGGTCAGTTGTAAAGTTCTGGGGAATGTGGGGGCTGGGAAGGGTGACTGTGAAACTGAAGTAAAAAGCAACCTGCATTCACCTCATGCCTTTCCTGCACAGAGGTGTAGGTTTTAGAAGATGTCTGGAGGATAATGGGATGACCGCAGCTGGTCAACATTGGTTGTGGATAATGCTCCTGAAAAAAAAATCATCCAAACATTAAACCAAATGCCTTACAAGTGGGCTTGCTCTGGCATTATCTACAAGACAAGGTGCAGCAAGCCGGCCTGGCTTCTTCAACAGCAATGCCCAAACTTGTGACCTCTACCACCTAGAAGAACAATAGATAGTGGATGCATCACCTCCCAGCCACACACCACTCCGAATTAGAACTATATTGCTGTCCTCTCACTGTCACTGGGTCAAAATGCTGGTGCTCCAGCAAGAAGGCAGCTCACCACTACCTTCCTAAGGTCAGTTCAGGATGGGCATTTAAATGCTGGCCCAGCCAGCAATGTTCACCATCCAAGAATGAATTTGACAAAAAGGTGGTTCATGAAGGCTGCACCTATACAGGGAAAACTTTCCTCTTTGTGACTTGAGTTATTTTCATCAATATTGATATGCTTTTGCACAACAGACAATTAGAGTTCAGCTGCGATTTCACAAGCCAGGAACCCCAGAAGAGAACTGTGCTTTAAGGAAGCACATCTTGGGGAATTGCTGGCCTACAGGAGTCAGTAACACAGTGGGATCACCTCCTACATGTTTGAGGTGTATGTGAGGCACAATGCTAGTGTTGCTACCTCTGGGCCTGACATCCTGAGTTGAAGTCCCACCTTTCCCCGAGGTGTGCAATAATATCTCTGTGGAGATTGGTCATATATGCATTTTTGGGATTGTTTTCCATAGAGCTGAGGAGACTGAAGGGCAACATGATTGAGATGTATGAAATTATGAGGGGCACAGACAGGGTAGACAGGAAGGAATGTTCCCCCTTGGCAGAGGGATCAATGATCAAGAGGAATGGATTGAGGTTAAGGTGCAGGAGGTTTAGAAAAAGATTTCACTCAGAGGGTGGTGGGAATCTGGAACTCACTGCCTGTAAAGATGGTAGAGGCGAAGCCCTCATCACAATTTCCGAAGTATTTAGATGTTCATTTGTGATGCCTAAGCCAAGGATCAAGTGCTGGAAAATGGGATTAAAATAATTAGGTGATTACTTTTGACCAGAGCAGGTTCGATGGACTGAAGGGCCTTTTTCTGTGCTGTAGACATCTCCGACTTTACAAGGGGACATTGTCCAAATAGCAAAATAAATCTACACCTTATGCACAGATTGTGGCTGTGAACCTTTCACCCATGGAATCCCAACACATGGTTTACGATCAAAACTTCCTGTCTTGAGCTGAAAAAGACCCAGCTGGACTATTACTATTACAGTGACTAACCTGCTATTTATCTCCAGGTCTTTTATACTGGATTCCAGCTCCTCTGACGACTCCATCCCCTCTCGACTGCGGCTTTTGACAGTCAGTGTTCGGGCCGTTTCTGGAGTCCCACTCGAGTACTCAGGCTGGGGGACAGGGAAGGACCCTGGTCTGCCTTCCAGCCTTGTCTTTTTGGTCTGGAAGATGGAGACAATGTTTGTTAAAGCGTAAGCCGTTTAGAATTGGCCAGTCACGTTGGTACCTCAAAAAACTGGCACTCTCACTCCTCTCCTGTCACAGCAAGCATGCCGTGATCAAAGATGCCCTTCAATAATTCAACTGAACTTTGTGCAAGTACGTCTTTAAAGTCCTGATGAAGGTGGCACTGTGGGATATGATTGAATTGACATACACCAGGTGTTAAATGCTGGGAAAGAACATTATATGTGCTGGTTTAACTGTGACACGATTGGGTAACTCGTTTCATTCGATAACAGAAAACAGTTTGGAGTTTACTTTTGCCTAGTCACTTATTCAATACTGGAATTACAAAAATAGATCATTCTCTACTCACCCTACTAATCAGTCAGACCCACCTTTGTCTAACAAAAGTCTACTGAACTCCATGACTGCCCCACTATTTGCTCTCAATAGCCTTGCTACGTTGGTGACTTTGCATTAGAAACATGAAAAGCAACTTCCTACTTCTGTACAAACTGCATTGGATCATGAACAGTGAAAATTGTGGGTAGTTGAAGGACGTACCATACGGTCAATATTGAAACCACCACTGACTGCAAATGCACAGGATTGGGAGAGTGGAGAGAACTCCAGAACTTCGCTGGATCTGTATTCACGTTGTGTTTCAAAGGATGAGAGGGGATCTGATTGAACCATATAAGATTCTCACAGGGCTGGACAGGTTACATGGAGAGTGATTTTTCATGGTTGGGAGTCTGGAACCAAGGGACACACTCTGATAGACCATTGAGGACAGAGATAAGGAAACATTTCTTCACTCAAAGCATAGAATTCTGTACCACAGAAGTGTATGGGGGCCAAGTCACTGAATCTATTCTAAAAAGAGAGAAATAACTTTTGTATTTTAAAGGCATCGAGAGGCATGGGGAGAAAGTGAGAATATGGCAGTGAGATATAGGGTCAGCCATGATCATATTGAATGGAGTGCAGACTTGGAAGGCCCAATGGCTGATTCCTGCTCTTAGTGTCTATGTTTCTGCTTTTCAATGTTTCACTACGGGGAGGGAACCTTTCCCTTTTTAAATGACTTAACTCCTGCAAACCATGCAGATTTTAATTGGTGGAAGTACACCTGAAGGATTAATCGAGGAGGCAGTGGCATAGTGGTAATGTCACAGCTACTAGCAATCCAGAACCCCAGGTGAATGATCTGGGTTGTGGTTCTGAATCCTATCATAGGAAGTGGTGAAACATCAATTTGCTAAAAATCTGGAATTTAAAAAAAGCTGGCTAATGGCAACTATGCAGCCACTGTTGACTGTTGTAAAAAACCATCTTGTTCACTGATGTCCTTTTAGGGAAGAAAATCTACTGCCCTTATCCGGTCTGGCCTACATGTGATTCCAGACCCACAGCAATGTGATAGATCTTTAACTGCTTTCTGGGCAATTAGGGATGGGTAATAAATGCTGGCCTAGCCTATCGATGAACAGATTCCAAGAACTAATAAAAAATTAGCCTGCTGAGTGTCCCGATGTGTTGGAGTGGCACTTGGTGACAGTTTGGAGATTGTCACCAGCCTAGTTTTCAAGCGTTCAAAGATCATTGTCATTCAGGAACATTATCAGCCCACGCAGCTTTGAAGGAAGCTACGTGGCTCATTGTGCCTATCTGTATCTTTGGACAAAGTTATTCAATTCGTTCTAGTTTCCTGCTCCCTCCCCATAGCCTGGAAATGATTTACTTCTGAGAATGTAATCTGGTCTCTTTAATAAGTGACTTCCTTCAGCCTACTCATTCAGATATTGTAAACAAATCATAACAATTTCTGCTGGGTTAACAAAAAATTCTCATCCCCTCTTTTGCACTTTTTCTATCCCTATTGTAAACCTGGATCCTCTGGTTATGTGATCTCCTGCTAGTGCAAACATTTGGCCCACACCTACCCCCAGGAATTAAGGGTCACGGTATTATCGAAAAGACTACCTTTGCTTCCTGTGCCAGGGTTGTGTCCAAAACGGCAGCCTCGAAAAGACAGGAGGGACCACAAGGTGTGAGCGTGGCTCCTGACCTGGACACACACACACACACACACACACACACATACACACACAAACACTGAGCTCCCAAACCTGACTCAGTGTTAGACAAACTTCATAGTCTCATAACCCCACACAATAACTATTCTCAACTGAACGCAGGGAAACCAAACCTTTGCCAGCTGGCCACCCTACTCTCCATTTGTTCCAAGAGGCCATTGTATTTGAAAAGCACAGTGCTCTTGTTTACAGTTAAGTTTCACTCCATCCACTCAGCACTTTCTGTTATATGCATCCGGTCAGCACATTTTTGCGAGGGGAGAGGGGCAGATTCAGTACAAAACAAATCAGCACAGTTAAATAAAAAAAAAGGTCTGTGGTGTTTGATTAGCCTTTATGAAGCATAACTCTCTCCTGAAGCCGAGAATAACAATTGTGTGGTCGGAACATAAAAGGCAGGTTATGTTTCCTGTGATGGCAACATGCCTCATGTAAATGAGCTTACTTATATTTCGCATTAATGATTAGTAATCATTTACAGCCATAGAGACGGAAGGGTGAGGAATTCAGCTGAGGGGCAGCTGGACAAAATAACAACAATTTAAGCCCTGTCTGATTTTCAGCTGAGTCATAAAATGGGCAGTTACTGCATATTTACGTGAAAGATGCAAATAGCTTCATGCTTGACCATTCTGTAAGGTAAAGGTAAAGGTAAAGTCGCCATAGTCCTGGAGGACCATCCGGCTGCTCTTTCCTTAGAGATACAGTGATGGCTTGTGGTGGTTTAACCTGAGGGTCACCACACCTCAGGCGAGGAGAAAGGTTGAGAAGGAGGGTCCGTCACGGTAACCTCAGCTGGTGCGGGATTTGGATCCACGCTCTTGGCATCACCCTGCATTGCAAACCAGCCATCCAGCCAACTGAGATAAAGCTAAAAAATAGCTTAGCATCCAGCTAAAGAAAGACTTCCATGTATGTAGCACCTTTTTCATGACTTCTCAAAGCGTTTTTCAGCCAATGAAATACTCTTGGGGTAAAGTCACTGTTATAATCAGAAACACAGCAGTCTGTTTAGGCACAGCAAGCTCCCGCAAACAGCAACACAGTCACAACCAGATCATAGCTTAAGGTTTCGGTTGAGGGATCAAATATTGGCCAAGATCACCCCTAAATATCTTCACACTCTTGCCATCTGATGGTCTATGCCTGCCTCAGAGAGTAGCGGGTACCTTGCCTAATGTTTGATTCAAGAGATGGCGTCTCAAACAGTTCAGCAGCCCCTCAGTACGGCAGTGAAAATGCTCAGCTCCCAGAAGGGGAACCTGATCCCTTTCTGACAAAAGAAGTCGAGGCTGACACAACATTAAACCATGCCATGTAGTTTCCATGTCAAAATCCAATTCATGACCAAAGGTTCTATCCTTTAATATTGAAGGGATCCACCCAAAAGATCTTTCCACTTTGCAGTTGCTGACTGAGATGTGGGGTGATGCCAGCATTTGTCACACAGTTTTTCCTCTGGCTTCCTCCGGGACAGTGACTAGCTGTCAAAGCAGTATTTCATTGGCTGGAAACAATTTTGGGCCATGCTACGGTAGCGAAAGGCACTGTCTGAATTCCTCTCCTTTTGGATTTAATTGTAAAAACTTAAACTGTTGCAATTTGTCCAGTGGTTCACAGCCTCTGAGTCATAAGGATTGTTGGTTCAAGTCCAACTCCAAGATGTCTGCACAGAAATGTAGGCGGATGCTCCCATGCAGTATTGAATGCTACATTGTTGACTGGGCCATCTTTCAAAGGAGACATCTTTCAAAGGAGACATTAAAGGAAGAACACGGCTGCCCTCTCCAGTAGACAGGAAAGATTTGATGGCACCATTTTGATGAAGAGCTGGGGAGTTATCCCTGGTGTCCTGGTCGCTATTCATCCTTCACACAACATCATGAAAAGCAGATTATCTGATGCCCGATTATCAGATTGGCTTTTGCATTTGAAGCACAACAGTGACGACACTTCAAAACGTGCTTCATTGGCTGCAGAAGTACTTTTGAAAGTCCACCGGTCATAAAATGGGCTGAATAAATACAAGTCCTTCTTGTACAAACACTGATCCATCAGCTACATACAGAAGGAGATAAAGACAATCCAAATCTTACAGGTCCACAATTGTTTTGCGTAACTTTATGTGCCATAGTCAACTTTCACCACATGGTGGGCGGACCGACTAAGATGCCAACAAGAGGGCTGCCCATTTCAGCCCTCTGTCAGAACTAGGAAATGATAGGCAGGAAACAGAAAATGCAAACCTTCCACAGGTGGATAAACATTATCAACAACCATAAGGAAAACAGTGAATTGAAAAATGTTTTGCTGTTTGTCACCACGATGCCAACTGCACTTCAGAAAAGGGAACAAACTGATGCGCATCCTCCTACAGCACCATCTTCAGTTCAGGCTGACTAATTACAGCTCCATGTGAGTACATTACCTACTGTGAATAAACAAGAAGCATTCTCTACTCTTTGAGAATACATTCTGCCTGTTTTGCTAATATAAGCATGTTGTTGATAGAAACATAGAAAATAGGAGCAGGAGTAGGCTATTCAGCCCATTGAGCCTGCTCTATCATTCAATATGATCATGGTTGATCATCCAATTCATGTCTTGTTCCTGCTTTCTCCCCCTACCCTTTGATCCCTTTAGCCCTGAGAACTATGTCTAACCCCTTCTTGAAAACATTCAATGTTTTGGCTTCAAACACTTCCTGTGGCAGAAAATTCCACAGGCTCACCCCTCTATAGGTGAAGACATTTCTCTTCATCTCAGTCCTAAATGATCCAACCCTTATCTTAAAAAGTGACCCCTGGTTCTGGATAGCCCAGTCATTGAGAACATCTTACCCTGTGTAGTCCTGTTAGAATTTGACTCCCCCCAACTCAGTCTTTGAAATTCCAGTG